AATACCAGAGATATGCATGGAAGATATTATTACCACCAGTCAGTCAAATCAGAGGAGGATAATAAATAATCTTAAAATCCTATTTAAGTTCAAGTACATCGTAACATTCTAACAAGTTACTTATTTTGTCTATAAAAACACTCGTTTTATTTCCCATCTGATTGTATTTGATTGATAACACTCATATTATTATTATTTCTGAATGTACATTATGCTATATTGCTTTATATTCAATCAAATGTCTTATTATCAATTCCAATCGTGTATATAAATGAAGCAAGAAAGTTGTGTGAGTGAGCAGCTTGATATGATTATGAGTGGCAATGAATTGTGCTCGAAACGTCAGTAGTAAGTATCACTGTACAACATTGTGTGATTTATCAAAGTAAAATCTTATCTATAATGGAGTTGTACCCTACCACAGTTCCCAAGTTTTATACGTATAATAAAATAACTATATTTTGCAGTTATCATGCATTCACTGGAGGCGGTCTGTTTGAATCACTTGGCTACTTGAATTTCCATCCAACCGAGTGTTTCATATTTTCTCTAAATTCCTATTGTTTTACTAATTCAAATATATCCTTGAGTCTTAAAATGTACTCATGTACACCTTTGCTTGACCCTCAAATCGCTGGTGGATATTTCTCAGAGAATAAAAGGAAAAAATATCATAAAGGATTTGTCTGTGCTCCAAGTCGAACAGTATTGCGTCACTTGATAAACAGGATATATTGCTCTTTTATTTGAAGATTCCAGACGAAGAGGAGAAATGATACGCAATAAATTACTGTGAATATTCTGTACATTGTGTAAACACTTTGTAGTGGACCTTAAACGTTTGAATTTTTGTTTTAACGCATTCATTCACTATGGCGCCTCAACATCTTGTTATTTTCCGGTGCGGCTGTACACACGTAACTCGCTCTCTTGTTGTGCTACCAATAAGCGCACTCTTAGAGCTTACTACCCAGCCGGGCAACAGATAAGTTGTATATAACATTCTTATTTATTAAAATTGATATTTAATCTGTGTAAAAATACAATTGACATCAGGACACATTACCCAGTCTCAAGACTTTGTACTTTACGTTCGTTAATCAGTACTTACATGCTAGGTAGAGTACTGATTAGGGTATTAAGAGGAGAAGTCTTCAGTAAGTGCTGTTAGTTGACGTCTATCTTGAGTACAATCAACATTTACAACTTCGTCCAGAACAAAGATATTATTATTATTTGTATTTCCCACTCTTTAAAAAAGTTTGAATTCTTATTGGTGCGTAACTCTTCTAATTAATCAGAGAATTTAGTGTTTGTTAGTGGTCTTTAATTGGTGGATGGTGACTAGCAGTGGAATAATCCAGGATAACGCACATTTCGTCCTATTTGAGACTCGTCAGCTAGTGGATTTACCTGTATTCCGCAGTGAATGATGATGTTCCGACCAAAGCTCGAACCCAGTGCCCGTAGTTTCAAACGCCAAAGCGTTATCCACTCGGTGGGAACATCATAACTCACTGAGAAATGAAAGTACATCCAGTTGACGAGTCCTAAATGGGACGAAATGCGCATTATCCTGGATTCCACTGCTAGTCGCCATCCACCAGTTAAATTCTGATTACATGCCTAGACATCGTCGAAGCATCTGCACAAGAAGCCGACAGACATATCAACTTGAGACCGAGCACTTCAGTCCAATTAGTCGATGGGAAAATCTAGAAAATTCAATTAAATAATTTGTTAATGGTCATTTAAAACCGTTACATATAGTATTTCTACGAAGTATCCATTTAAGGCAGTTTGAGACAGTGATGTCTCCTATCTCTCTCTCTCGTTAGCAGGTGCCGATGGTATATTATTTGCTGTGATCGACTCTTTTTCATCCCTTTGCGTTCTCAGTGAAACATAAGGCTTTAAAATCGAGTTCTGAAGATTTACTAACGGTGTCTTATACGGTATAGGACTGCTAGACTCCCGTCCAACCTTCCCTCTCTAGTGATATAAGTATAAAACTTGGGCACTGTGGTAGTAGAGTATAACTCCATTATGGATAAGATTTTATTTTGATAAATCACACAGTGCTGTACAGTAATATTAACTGATGACCACATTTCGAGCACAAATTATTGCTCATAATCATATCAAGTCACTCAGAAGTTTTTTCCTTCATTTATATACACGTTTGGAATTGACTAGATATTTGAATAAAAATCAATATGGGATAATGTACATTCAGAAATTATAATATGAGTGTTATTCACCAAATACAATTAGATGGGAAATAAGACGAGTGTTTTTATAGTCAAAATAAGTAACTTGTTAGAATAGAATACAATTTAAGATTATTTATTATTCTCTTCTGATTTGACCGGCGGTAAAAATATCTTCCATATTTCTGGTATTTGCATTGAGTCATTTCTGTTGCATGTGTTGGGTGTAGATTCACTCGATGAAACAGGATTCAGTAATCAATCTCTCTCGCGCTTCACCTACATAGATTACTTCTTAGCATTTTAACCCTCTCCCATCCACCCTTTTGTGTGGTTGTTTGTTAACGCGTGAAGTGCAATCGCTGAGCTTTTTTCTAAATTACTCATCTTCTTGGGGTGAACCATTCTTACCTTAGCTAAATTCTTATGTTCCGACAATCTGACTACCGCCGAACATAAGAATTTAGCTAAGGGAAGAATGATTGACCCCAAGAAGATAAGTAATTTAGAAAAAAGCTCAGCAATTGCACTACATGCATGCACTAACACACAACCAAACAATACGGTGGGAGAGGGTTAAAATTCTAAAAAAGTAATCTAGCTAGGTGGAGAGAGTGATTGATTACTGAATCCTGGTTCATCGAGTGAATCTACACCCAACACATGCAACAGAAATGACTCAATGCAAATACCAAAGATATGTGTGGAAGATATTATTACCACCAGTCAGTCAGTCAAATCAGAGGAGGATAATAAATAATCTCAAATTGTATTCTATTTCAATTCAAGCACATCACAACATTCTAAGAAGTAACTTATTATAACTATAAAAACACTCGTCTTATTTCCCATCTGATTCTATTTGATTGATGACACTCATATTATTATTTCTGAATGTACATTATCCTATACTGATTTTTATTCCAATATCTAATCGATTCCACTCATGTATACAAATGAAGGAAAATGTTGTGTGAGTGAGCAGCTTGATATGATTATGAGTGGCAATAGTTTGTGCTCGAAAGGTGGTCATCAGTTAATATTACTGTACAACACTGTGTGACTTCCCTCTCTAGATCTGAGCATACTACTGGCTAAGTAAGGTCTAGGAGTACGTCGACTAAGAATCGAGCCTGAACCACATGTATGTTGGGCCAGAATTCTATCAATGAACCACGCTGATGCAAGACAGAAATAATGAAGTTGTATATTAATTAATAAGGGTAATCATCTAAAAATTGAACATTACTATTCTCGGCTAACACTTAAAAGTGTGACGCATTACCGAGGATAACTCATACACTTGTTAGGCAATACTCAGACATACTCAAGCATACAATGAATTGCTCTATAAAGGTAAACATCTCGATTGCTTTTCAGTTTGTCTAGAATGAATGTTTCAAGTACAGATTGAGTTTATTATGTATATATGCATATATATATATATACTTATGCCTTACTTGAAGATAAGAATTCTAAAAGTCTTAGAGAGTTACGTCACATAACTTTAATTTCTACTTCGTTTTCTCGCCTTTTTTCTTGGCTATTCTCTCTTCTTAAAATCTATCTACCATTGCTAAATTTCACTTACAATGAACAACTTGGTTTGAAGTATATTTTTGTACTTTACATGATCTGATTTAAAGCCAATAAGATCTACTGTTATTATTACTACTATTATTGTTAGTCAACAGAAAATACAGGTTTCGAGAGTGTGTGTAATCAGGGTGTGTGAGACAATGTGAAAATAATAAACCAACGAATGGGGCGGACTAGACATAAGTTGAAAATAACGCCAATAAGAATGATTGTCAAATAATAACGATGATATGGTGTAAAATTAAAAGCACTGTTGGTGAATGATTGTCAAATAGTAATAATAATAATGAATATAATGAAGTGGAATGAACAGGATTTTGTAAATACGATAGCAAGTTAGAAAAGCACTACTTAAACCTAAGGTAATAAAATCATAAGAAAGGTCATGAAATCATAAAAGTCGAAAATGAACGTTTGTCAATGAAACAGAAGAATAGAAGAAGAAGAAAAGAAAAGAAAATTGTGACAGGAATTTATAGTGTTAATGTTTATGGAGAATTTGTTGGCTTTATCGTAGGCCAAGGTAAACATAGTGGTTGAACATACTTCTTCTGTATGCAAAGAGATGGTCTTCTGGTATTAATTGCAAACGCTTCAGCTACTGATAGAAGACATAGTTGAGCTCCTTTAGATAGAATACAAGGAACGCGGTAAACAACTGAGAACGCCTGGTCAAGTTTTATCAAGTGTCCAGTATCTACAAAGTGGGCTAAGACTGCACACACATGATTAAATGATTTCATCTCATCTTATCTCATGTTCTCATTGACCATGCATATTCAGAAAGCTAACTGACTATTGTTCCATCCCATCTGACTTATACTTGTTCCACAATACACTTTCTGATATGATTTTAATTTGCCTTTACTGACTGGCTGGCTATTTTATGCTTAAATTAATGGATTTATAATTGTAGAGTCTGAAGAAGAAGGAATTTATTGAAAGCGACAACTGTTCACTCTAACTATTTTCTTCTGAATAATATAAGTTTACACATTATTCTTCAAGTTTTATTGGCGAACAGTTGCCCTATGATCCGATATTCGAAGAATAAATACTCAAGGTAGACATTTCGGTCTTCTTCTATTTTGTGGAGCCCTCAGAAATATAGAGACAGAGAGAGAATCTGTATGTCGTCATAACAGTATTGGTTAGGACAAGTAAAATGAAAAAAATCAAATTCTCACTTACATCTTCCATAATAAAGGTCTGGATCCATATTCTGTAGAAAGATATTGGAATTAGATGAAAGGAAATTATCCTACAGTCTTTGTATAAAGAACTTTCAATAAAATCGTGATATAATGCAATTCCCAAAATAAAATTATTGGTGATATATATATATATATATATATTGCATGGAGGATTTTACCATTAGCTTACATCAGTTAGAGAACCACTGGAAAATCTGGGAGTACTGGACAGCTGTTTCGTCCTAGTTTAGGACTCTTCATCAGTACGCACCCATCAATCGGGGTTCGAAAACAGGACCTTCTGGTTACAAAGCGAACTAGCTCATTGACCATTTAGCCACTAAGACCCGATCCAGTGGTCCTTGAATCCTTACTTCTGCGAATTCACGACATAGCACGACCATTTCGCAATGTCTTCTTCGATGAGTTGCTGCCTCATCTTCAACCTGCTGTACCCTACTGGTCTACGAGCTCGCCATGTAACCAGAAGGTCCTGGGTTCAAACCCTGGCGGTGTTTGCGTACTGATGAAGAGTCCCAAGCTAGGACGAAACAGCTGTCCAGTACTCCATGGTAGGTTTTCCAGTGGTTCTCTAACTGATATCAGCTCATGAAGAAATCCTCCATATATAAAATAATTCATAGGATGGATAGAACTTAGAGAGGGTGTCCAGTTATACGATTAGTAGGCAAATCGAATAAAACAAAAACGTTACGTAATATTGTGTAAAATTTGATAACATAGAATTTAATTTCGACAAAGCAATAAGAAGACGTAATTTGTCTGAAAAGATCTATTTATAGAAAACCTACCTGGACAGGACAGTATCTTAATTACCACAGTTTCTGCCCTGTTCGGTACAAAAGAGCCTTAGTAAGGTGCCTCTTCAGTAGAATCCAACGAATGTGCACTGAAAGACACACTTGATGAAGAAGAAAGAAAGTTGACACAAACTCTGGTTGATAACAATTATCCAGACAAGTTCATCAGGAGATATAAAGTAGTCAGAACACCAAGACCTACTCTCTCCAACTCGCCCCTAAGAAAGACGTGTACATCAAGCTACCCTATATGGGGCATCAAAGCAGCTTGATAACTAGACAAAGATTGAACGCTGCTGCTGAAATTTCCACAACAGATTGAGGACCATTCGAACCTAGATGGCCAATCAGTAAGGATAATGTCTGAGCTAACTTCTTCTTTTCGACGCATAAATTAGACTTCTTAATGTGAATCCCAATAGCCAGTCTCAGCAATATGTAGTAGTCGAACTCTTAAGGTGAAGTTGAGATTTGTTGGTTGGTATGCGGTAAATGACTTTGAAAGCTGACTCGTTGACATCAATCAATCTTGTGTTGTGTATCCACAAGATGAGATAGAATGGCGCTACGTGAATAGATTTTGTTTGTCCTTTAATTAACCACTATGCAGGGTGATGTTCGGAAATCCGACGAGAAACACGCCCAATTGTACGGCGTATGCAACTAACTGGCTCACTCCACAGGAGCAGTTAAATTGGTAGATACACATAGAAGAGGCGAAATTAGGAAGTTTGTCTTTTACTCCCGAACGCAAAAGAGGAGTGGTTTTGAAGACATAGCGTAATTCAGGATCATTTCTAAGCGTTGTGTTAGTATCTCGCTGATGTTGTCCCCAAAGAACTGCATTTGTAAGAATACCGCGTTTTTAGGAACTGTTGGTACCTTGTGCTGCCTTGATTTTGATTCATATTCTTATCAATAAACTTTTCTGGATAACCGTTTTCACTCAGCAACCGTTTAATATTATTAAGTTCCTCATCAAGACATTCATCCGAGCAGATTGCTCTTGCTCTGTGGCGGACCAAGCACTTTATCAGATTGCATTGATCTTACTTTACAAATCGATATTATTTAAAAAACACACCAATATTGTTATTGACTACTAATCTAGAATATTTTATGTATATAAACATTTGTATATATAATTGTAGAGCCAGAGGAGGAGGAATTTATCAAAAAGGATTTTATTTAAAATGAGCACCACTACCAACCTTATCGTTCATATCAATTAACTAATGTCTAACAAAATGAGAAAAACGTATTGTAAAACTCTTCAAAAATGAGATCGATATCGATTATTGAGATGCTACAACGTCCGACAGTCTCCAGGTTCCAGATGAACATACATCATACACTCAGTGATATGAATTCGTCATGAAAGCAGAGACGATTAGCAATAATATAAGGAATTCTGACAACGAAAAAATAAAAACAACCCACAACCTATTGCTCAATTAAAATATATCGATTAAAATGGAGCTAGATGAGTCACATGCTTGAGAAGACGACAGAGTAACATCGCGCGTAAGGTCAACCCTCGATTAGAAGTCGAAAAGCGAAACGATCAGTTGGACGTATGAAGAGGAAGGAGATGAAGCCTTATGGTCAATCTCAGAGCCATTCATGAAGGTGTGCAGAGAAGAGAGTGTGATGAAGGCTTGAAATTCAAGCGAGTAATAATAATAATAATAAAGGTTTTTGTATTTCCCAATGAATGAAAAACAAAACGATATTGTCGTTTTCACTGACGTTTCGCTATTTAATGCTGCCGCTAATAGCTTTATCAAAGTAGTATTATTAAACCGGAATTTACAAAATCTCAGCATACATATAACAAAGAGTTAAGGGGTGAGAAAATAGACTACTGAGGTCAAGTTAAAACGACATATTGAAAGTTAAAATAACAATGAAGATCACTAAACCAAATAACAAAGGTAATAGTACATCTGTTATGGAATCCAGTTCACTTCGGAAGCAGAATCAGACATCGGTGAACTACCATTTCTAGACTGCCTAGTTAAGAGAAGGGAAAACGGACATTTTAATATATCCATATTCAGGAAGAAAACCCACTCAAATAAATATTTAGACTTCAAATCATCACACCCCATCAGCGTAAAGATTTCAGTTGTTTCAAGTCTTCGTAGACGAGCACACTCTCTGATAATGGATGAGAAAGAAAAAGAAGAAGAAATATCAAACAATACTGAAACTCTCAAGCAAAACAACTACCCAAGGGACTTCATCAACAAAATCAACACTGACATATTAAGTATGGCCGAAAACGCATTCCGAAAATATGGACCTCGACAGTCGTCATTCCATATAGAGCAGAGACGTCAGATGATATCAGAAGAGTACTCAATCAGCTCGACATTAGAGTTTTCTTTAAAACATCAGACGCACCACGAAACAACTTTGCCCCTTATAAAAGACCAGATCCCTAAAGATTCTCCATCTAATTGTGTCTATAAAATAAAATGCTTGGAATGTGATGCGATATACATCGGACAAACATCTCGAGAAATCAAAATCAGAAGAAATGAACACCGTAGAGTGAGTGAGAAATCCGACTGAACTAGAAAAACATGAAAAATCATCAGCCATAGATCTGTCTACACGCTATAGAATCAGACCACAAAATTGATTTTGACAATATTGAAATAATCCAGAAAAATTTCAGAAATCGCAAAGAACGTCTAATATCATCAGAAGCACTTCATATCAAGTGGAATCAAAATTGCCTGAGCTGAATAGGAATGATGGACTAAAATAGAATCTGAGCTGGTTACAACACCTCCCTCCCCCATGAAATGACAAAATCAATACGAATGTGATATGTAAGTTCACTATGTGAACACACACTGCCTTTATAATTATAAATATTGATCAAATCCAACAATCTACACTTGATTTTGATTTTGTTATCTTTACCAACTGACCAACTTGAGAACGGAAAAATGCCCCCAGACTAACGAACGGTGATCAAGTTAGTAAACTTTGTTTTTATGATACCATAACAGATGTACCTACTATTTCCTTTGTTATTTGGTTTAGTGACATTTTAACTTGACCTAAGTGTATTTTCTCACCCCTTAACTCTTTGTTATATGTATATGCTGAGATTTTGTAAATTCCGGTTTAATAATACTACTTTGATAAAGCTATTAGCAGCATTAAATAGCGAAACGTCAGTAAGCAAAAACAATATCGTTTTGTTTTTCATTCATTGGGAAATACAAAATAAACCTTTATTATAATGAATATCATATACCACCCAATGCCCAAATTTTTTCAAACTGTTAAAAGTGAACTTGGTTTGGACATATATAATAATAATAATAATAATAATATGTCAATTAGATTACATTTAAACTCACATCACTAATCACTTCATAACTTCCTTGAAGAAATTCTCCAGCAACTAGAATGGTAGCGATAATGATAAAAAAAACAACATTAGAATTAACCAAACTTTGTTGAAGAGATTCCTACCGAATTGCATTCCAAGACATTGTAGAAATACTATGCTACAAACAATGAGTAAGAGCATTATTTAGTATGCTTTACAAATTAAAGAATTTCACTAGTAATTTAAATATAACTTCAATGTAGGTAATTAATCAATAAGCAGTAGTATATATACACGCACACAAATGCACACAGAAATGCATACATACACACACATACGTACATGCATACATACATACAAATAAATGCATACCTTACATACTGCCTCATAGATTGTATTGCCTGATCTTTTAAGGTAGGCAATGGCTTCATCAACATCAAATAATGATGCCTCAAGCAATGCACCAATCATGTTTTGTGTGCACTCATGTGATTGCCTATGTATGACTTTCTAACTATAGAATGGTGTCATTTGTAAAAAATTATATTTGTAAAGTCTCAGCGAGATTGAAATGAGTAATTCCAACGTTTCGTTCAGCAATCTGGTCCGAACTTCTTCAGGGAAATTAATCGAAATTAACATAACAGAGGTTTATATATAAAAAGGAACATCACTTGATTTTAAAAACCACTTTGTCCAATCATGAGTCATTCAACAAGTATAATAAACAAAATTTTATGAGCTGTGATCAAAATTTGACCTCGGACTTACAAATATTGGTCTACCATTGTTCAACACTTTAAACAGAGTGTGTATGTGTGTGTGTGTGGGTAAACAGCTGTAAAGCATTTCTTAACGTTTCCATAAGAAGATATGCACAGTCGAGAATTTTGACCAAGTATTAATAATTAGTGATACATATCCATTTTTTATTTATTAATAAGGATTTCCTATGCATCAGCTAACAAGACCACACCTTCATGTCTGTTCAAACTGTTAGTATCTAGAATTTTATGATTAGACGTATTTTCAAAATTATGGTGTTTAGGATTAGAGTTTAGTAGAAGCACCCTGTCGGACTTATTGCTTTGTCTTTTTTTTGTGAAGATTGAGCTGCTTTATTCGACCTACTGGAGTTGTCAGGTGACTCGACAGCTACGGATTTAGGATATGCATTCTGTCGCTGAGACTTTACAAATATAACTTTTTACATATGTCTACTTCTCACTCGGTGCCCAAATATTTTAGAACTATTCTGTCAAATCTTGACGACAGTTCATTTGAATATAGAATGGTGCATACATTATTTATTTCCGTTAATGAATGAATGTGATGAATAAAGCAAGAACAACAACAACAACCACAGTGGTGGTTTTGCAGAATAATAAGATGGTACCATCCATTGTTGATGATTTCGTTGGCCTCTTATCAGCTCAGCTGCTTGCTTACAGACCAAAATCATTACTAAGTATGTCTACAGAAACTATTTTTAACTTACTTGAACAGAATTTATTTTTTAAAACATTTTCAACAGCTCATGATGAAATCCCGCATACAATCATACTAAATCCCCACCTGGGGTTCTAGTGGGAAGCCGTGACCAGTAGGGTACAGCAGCAGGTTGAAGATGAGGCAGTAACACATCGAAGGAGACATTGCGCAATGGTCGCTCTATTTCATGAATTGGCAGAAGTTAGAATTCATTGACTGGCTGGCCACTGGATCGAGTCCCAGTGGCTCAGTGGTCTACGAGCTCGCCTTGTGACCAGAAAGTCGCTGGTTCGAACCCCTGTGGTGGGTGCGTACTAATGAAGAGTCCCAAACTGGGATGATGATGATCATACACCATATAAACTTTCGGCATTACGTAATCGGATGAAAGAGAGGGTAAAAATATCCATTTACCAGACAGGGTAAGGAAAGACTGATAACTGCTTCTTTCTGAACACATAAATCAGGTTTCAGGCGCTTGATGAAGATGGCTTCAGCAAACTTATGGAGAATTGAACTCTTTCGCGCCTATTGATAATTTTGAACGACTTTTCGAAGTCCACCTCATGCATGACCCGTGGCACTGTTTAAAGTATTTACTCCCTTCAGACATAAGCTTTTTGGTACATGTTCAGAAAATCGTAGATATGCTCTTCTTCTTTCTGTTCTTCCAATGTAACTGCTCCCGCAGATACATGTAAATTTTTAATATAAAGTTGGAGTTAACAACATGAGAAGGATATCTATCGATATTTGATTGCACCAAAGAGCAAGTTGTTCGATAGACGGGAACCAGCTTAGCCAGCTGCAGGATAGACCCTGGCTAGTGACATACTCAGTCTTTTGTTGACCATTGCGCCAATGTTTTCACCTTTATAATCAAGTTGAATGTAGGTAGTACAATGGGGCGATTAGACTGAAAATGTATTTTCAGAACAAGAAAATCTCAGTATTATTAATATTCTCTTGGGTTTCGAGTGGAAAGTAAAACTTCATTCGTCAATATCCACCTTTCAATTCCTCCTGATACTATCTTCTCCATGTTATGCTTTGACCCAGGTACAAATCGTCGTTTCTAATTTGTGTTCCACTCGAGGCTTTGTCTTGCGCGTGATGTTACTTGAAAGCATCGTCAGTGTGTATCCGATCCGTTTCCATTTGCTTCTGTATACTGTTTTGGGTGGTAAGCTGTCGGACAGCCCCTTGTTGCTCATCCCTTCTAGTCATGTGATCCTGAGTACTGAGTAAAGAGGACAGTTTTTGATTAAGGTTTTCGACTTGTTGGAGATGCTTTTTAAGTAACACGTACTCTTAGTCTGTGAGCTAAATAGAACGACTGACCTGACGTCACTTTAAACTATTTGATTTGTGTTTCATATGCTGAATGGAGCAAATTTCTACACTGATCCCAGAACTATGCTGGTCTGTCTTGTTATTCTGATCCTGGGGGCCATCCGTAGTTGAAACGATGCTGCCGAGATAAGTGAAAGCAGATACTTTTCACATTCTTTGCTGGGAGTGATTGATGACTGCTGCTGTTAGCCAGGTGTCTTCATCATCTCTATGTTCTCTGTTTCTTCTGTCCACTTGGTATTTTTGCCTGTAGACCTTCAAATTTATGTGACAATAGACGCCAGTCATCTGTGAAGTCCAAATCTTCTAGTGTCTTCTGGTAGGTCCAACGTATGTCTGTCTTCTCGTTCCTCACGGTCTGTTGCGTAATCCAGTGCACTACAACCAAGAGAGTTGTCTATCGCAGTATGATGTCTATTTTATACAGCTTCAATTTTCGATAATTCTTTTCAAATCTTCCTGTATACATTCAGTCGCTAATGAGCATCATATCAGCTGTCAGCTGTTGGTTTGCAGGAACTTGACTGGTTACACGTCTAGTAACGAGCTGGTATCAACTAGAAAGCCTATAAAGTTTTCTATTGTTGGTTTGTAAGGATTAGTTTTGTATTTACGAGTTTGACTACGGATTGATATCAGTTAGAGAACCATTGAAAACCAGACACAGGGAGTACTGGGCAGCCAGCTGTTCCATCAGCCTAGTTTGGGAATCATCGGTAGCACGCACCCACCATCAGGGTTCGAACCCAGAACCTTCCAGTTACAAGGCAAGATCGTATACCACCACGAATTGGTTGAAGTTAGAATTCATGGGCCATTGAATCGGATCCAAGTGGCTGAATGGCATACGAGCTTGCTAGTCCTATAACCGGAAGGTCCTGGGTTCATACTGCCGATGATTCCAAACTAGGCTGACGAAACAGCTGTCAAGTACTTCATTGCTGGTTTTCAATGGTTCTCTAACTGATATCAATCCATGATCAACTCGTCAAAGCCTATAAAGTTGTCTGGCAGTTGTGCTACTTATCACGAAATGACGGAAGTTGGAATCGATGAGCCACTAGATCGGGCCTCAATGGCTGAGTGGTCTGTTAGCTCGTCTTGTAACCAGAAGGTCTTGGGTTCAAGTCCTGGTTAGTGTGTACTATTGAAGAGTGTCAAACTAGGACAACACAGATGTTCAGTAATTCTGAGTTTTCCACTGGTTCTCAATCTGACTTCAGCTCATAATCAAACTAGTAACCAATAGAATCTCTGCAAACCAACCACATAGTAGTAAAATGGTTTTTAACTTATGTAAAAAACTTGACTTAAATTATGATCGGTTCCTCAAAGGATAACTTTGGTTTCATTTTGACGCTTGATAACGCTATAACATTTGGTGTAAGTGTCAGTGTGGGGAAACAGCCACTTATTTGGAGAATTCAACTGATCATCCACGAAGAGGAAAACGTCCACGTCCCATTTACACGTCATTACAAGTGTCTAGAAGATAAAAAACGCCATATTTGCTATAAATGATAATGATCTGGGTTCGATAATGAATGTAGTAGCGAATTCCATTGAAGACCTAGTACAAGTGTATCTCTTCAAATACTTTCTGTCACAAAGAGCCCAAGGAATTATTAGAAGACAGTAGTGAACTCTGCTGCTAAGTGCATCAACATATATATATATGTATATATGTATATATATATACATATATATGAAAACAATATCAATAATTGGTTTGAGTGGGTTTATGAGGTCAGATATCTAAAATTGTCCGGTCAGGTTGTAACTAAATATTTCGCCTCATCCCAATGGTTTAAATCACCGAAAATACCCGTTGAGTCATAAAGAAAATAAAAAACAAATTCAGTGAAGAAAAGTTGTAAATTACATGGTACTCAACGGCACAAAGTTAGAAATTTGATAAGGTTAAAATTGCTAATGAGTGAGGAGAAAGCTGGTAGTTGAGCGTCAGTTTAACAAGTGTGAAGAGGGTGTGAAAATGTACAACAGAGAACATATGAGAGTGATAATAGTGAATTAATTATTAAAGTAAAAGTAAACTAAAAGCAAAATTTAAAATTTAAAAAATTAAAATTTTTAACAGGGATCGACTAATGAAGAGGTTAAGACCAAGGTCGAATAAGAGACTGGACAAACTTTTCTGTGTGTACAGAGTTCGGGGTTGTATTGACTAATTGCCAGCGCCTCCACCATACACAAAAGCAGAAACCTGACGCCCTTTGTACCATTTGGCGGCACCTTGTAGATGATCTTGAAAGACGACTCTGATGGAGCTGTGTGGCCAGAGTTCACCAAGTGCTCGAAAATTGAACTAGTAATTGTGTTACATTCTCCCTTTGCTAACCATGCCGGATAATGTCCAGAGATGCGTTTGGAAAGTGTGCGCTTTGTGTATGCGGCCAATATAACTAGCTCCACACGAGCAGGCGAA